AAAAACGTAAGTAGAAAAAATAATGAATAAAAATATGACCCAATCTTTACATATATTATTATTATATTATTTATATAGCACCAGAAAATTCTGTAGCACTGTACAATGTACAATGGGTGGACTAACAGACACGTAATTGTAACCAGACAAGTTGGACACACAGGAACAGAGGGGGTGAGGACCCTGCTCAATGAGCTTACATGCTAGAGTAAGTGGGGTATAGTGACAAAAGGTATAAGTAGGGGTAATGAAATAGGTTGGTAGAAAAGTAATCACTTAGAACTTATTTTTGCCAGTTTCAGGAGAGGAATCAAGGAGGTGGGGATGAAAGGTAGTGGATGCAAGGTAGGGGAATGAAAACCCGGTAACAGTTTAAATTATATGCTTTCCTTAAGAAGTGTATTTTCAAAGATTTTGGCGACTGGGTGAAAGTCTAACGGATAAGGGGAGGGAGTTCCACAGAAAAGGTGCCTCAGATGTGGGAGTATGGACTTAGGATAGACATAGGTCTTCGGCACAGCGCAGGGGCCTCAATGAGACATACTTGTAACCCTGTCGTGGCCCCCGGTTCGCTGCGAGGTGTGATCGCGCACGACTGCGCCGACAGACTGAGCTTACCTGTTCAGCGGCAAGTCGGGTGTCGCTCCACCAGGTCCTCTTGGCAGTCTGCCCGAAATAAAGATGGCGCCGACCATGCGTCGTGGCCATCGATGACTCCGCCCCCCCCCCAACGCCGACGACACACACTTGTTCCTGTTATTGCTATTCCCGGTATATTGACCTTGTCTATTCCTGACTACTCTGATTTCTGCTTTCCCTGACTTAGCTTGTTTAACGATATTGTGTATTTCTGTCTTCCTTGACCTCGGCTATCCCTTGACCATTCTCTGTCTTTAACGTATTAGTCCGGCCATTCTAAGGACCGGTTTCCATTCTGTTCTTTCCGTTCTGTCTATATAGCTGTTACATAGTTCTGCGTGCTGGACCACACTAGCAGTCGTGACAAACCCATACTTATAAAACACAGTCCATATATCATATCAGTGGAATGTCCAAATTCTATAAATAACTGGTTCTATTCATAGATGGATGACACGTGAAGAGTTCTGATCATATAGTCACTTATCTCTCAAATTAGACTTTCTCAATGGCCAAACACAAGTCTCTTCACCAACCCCAAAGCCCAAACACAACGGACCGCAGCAGTGGTACTGAACGCTGAACATTCCTTTTTATATTGTCAGCATATTTCTTATAATAAAAATTATAACTGTTTTTCCACACATATGAGTTTTTCCTCCTTCTGTGCTAACTTCAGTTGTTACAAACTTGCTAGGTACATTATAGAGATCTTCAGCGGTTTCATATTAGGACGTGATAAATGAAATGATCAGATTATACCACTGGAGTGGGTTTGTTCCTCTTTAATCTTTGTGATTTGTGATTATTGGGCTCATGTTTTAAGATCCTTCACATTCATTTTTTTATTAATTGATGTCTATTTCAAATTAGATCTGATATTTGCAAGGCACATTTCAGGTTAGTGACTATATGGGCAGAATTCTTCATGTATGCACCACCTATGATACCAGTTATTTATAGAAGTTGGACATTTCTCTGATATGATATGATATATGAACTGTGTTTTATATATGTACAAGTTGGGGCATATTTTACTTACTAGATTTTCATTGAGCTGTCATTGCATCACTGAGCTGAAACTGAAAAAAAATTTCTAGAGGAAAAGCAAAATATCTTCAACTTAAGCTATTTTATTGCTCTTCTACTTTTGCTTAAATATTAAAAATGCCAACAATTCACTGTTTAGCGAATAACCGCCTTTTAAACATTGTTAAATCAATTATTTGCTGCAGATAAAAAGGATAATTTAAAGGACAAATTTAGTATGTAATAATACAATTTTGTTTGTCAAATCTGTCATTTATACAGATGCTTTTAATATATCTGTATAAATAATGTTCCTCAAGTCTACAAATTAATAGTTACATGTCTACTTCAAGGAACATGGATCCTTTTGAAACAACTCCCTAATTCAAAGGTTTTAACTTTGAATAAGACTGTTGTCTCATTCTGCAGTTAGTGGAGGCAGGTAAATATGACTTTTCTTTTCATATTTACCTGTTTCTACTTACCTGCATTTTCCACACCTACATTAGCTGGGACACTGATGCATCTAATCAGTGCCCTATCCCTAGGTATTGTGAAAAATTGCATTACACATGCACAACTCAGTAACGCATGCTCATTTCTAGCACCTCTCAATTTCATCATCAGTGAAGTTGCAAGACATGTGACAACCATAAATGCATGAACTCATTATGCGTGTTCACGGCTGGCACTTACCCTAGGCCACTGGTTGTCCCAGTGTTATACAAACCAGAGGCATCCCAGCCCTCCCATTCTCTGTACGGTGGCCAGAAAGTATGCTATATCTGGAGACATACATACACCATAACATCCTTTCAGTCTATGTTCTGCACACAGTCAAAAAATATTTTTTTAACTTCCCCTAATAGCCAGGTCTATGGGCTCATAAAATAGAGTTTTCATGTAGTTTTCATGCAAGTCACAATGGATGTGAAAAGGAGGTACAGTGAAGCAGCGCCTGTGGTGATCTCAAATCCAAAGTAATATAGGGGATAAGATGAGAAAACATAATAAAGTGTAGTATATTTTAAATTCTTGATAATTATAGAAAAACTAAATGTACTTACAATTTTCTGGAGCTTATATTCAGCTCCAGATTTATGTGCCTGGATGGTACAATCCCCGTCTGTGGATGTGTTGGTGGTCCCTGTGGGTATTCAGAGACATTTTCCAAAGTTGTAGATATGCAGCAATCCAGCAAACAGATATCCTCAGTATATGAGAGGGAAAATTAAAACAGAATATAGTGCTCTTTTTGTTTTAAAAGAATAAAAAAACTAATTAAAAAAAAGGTATACTCACAAGCAGAGTGCAAATAAAGGTATTGCTCAATCCCAATAGGCGTAGGTAGTATAATCCCCACCAAAGATGTCACTGCGTGAGTCCCTATTTAAAATCTTAAAGGATAGGGGAGGAAACTCCAAATTGTGTAAATGTACTAGCTTTATTTGGAGATAATTAGCAAATCCAAGTATAATGTAAAATAACACATTACACTTACACTAATGCGTTTCACCTGGTTTCTCAAATAAGAACACGTCTACTCCTCTGAATACCCACAAGGACCATCAACACATCCAGAGATGTGACAGCTCATTGATCCCTTTACCTGCATAGCCACTGACAGTTCCCCTGATCCCTGTACCTCACCTATCCACTGACAGATCCCTTCTCTGTACTCACCTACCCACTGACAATTCCCCTGATCCCTGTACCCCCTACCCACTGACATCTCCCTGATCCCTGTATCCCACCCATCCACTGACTGATGCCCTCTCTGTACTCGCCAACCCACTGACAATTCCCCTGATCCCTGTACCCCCTACCCACTGACATCTCCCTGATCCCTGTATCCCACCTATCCACTGACAGATCCCCTCTCTGTTCTCGCCTACCCACTGACAATTCCTCTGATCCCTGTACCCCACCTATTCACTGACAGCTCCCTGATCCGTGTACCCCACCTATCCACTGACAGCTCCCCTGATCCCTGTACTCCACCTACCCTCTGACAGCTCCCCTGATCCCTGTACCCCACTACCCTCTGACAGCTCCCCTGATCCTTGTACCCCACTACCTACTGACAGCTCACCTGATCTCTGTACTCGCCTACCCATTGGCAGCTACCCTGATCCCTTTACCCACTGACCGCTCTCCGATCCATATCCATTTCTCCCCATTTCTATTCCCATCCATATTCATCTCAATTCATGCTTCCATCCCTAACATACATGTTGGGCTCTGGCATATATATCTCTAATAAACATTAGAAACAGCAATACAAAATTAAAGGAAAGAAATTAAGAATATAAAAAAATAAAATAAAAAGCTGCTAGATCCAGAAAAAAAAGGACTTCCCTATGCCTATGTGGAACACAATCATAAATAACTGGCAGCCCTTGAAGGGTTAATTCAATATTATCAAAAAGGAAAAATGGTTCCTTCATAGTCTAGTTGCATTTGAAATTGCAGTTACAGTCACAGTTCAGTGGAAACAGTAACAATATCCACATTGTAACTATATGTTACCACTTAACCATAAAATGTAACTTTTATAGTGATTCCAGCAAGCTTCAAACAGGTTGTTAATCCAATACATTTTCTAGTTAACTTCACAGAGTGGATTCCTACAAGAAACCCATAAAGCAGCACACAGTGTAATACTGGCAATGTATTAATATAAATAGGTGCAATTAAAACAAGGCTCACTAGCATCGTCCAGTACATTGGAAGTCTATGAAAACTATCACCAACCCTTTTCCTAAGTGCACTGTCCATCAGCAAGCATCCAGGGAGAGAGGATCCTTACATGGAGAAAGGATGTTAGCAGGCTGTTAACAGACTACACTCAATAAATGTGTTTCACCCATATTAGTGGGCTTCTCTAAAAAATAAAAAATAAATATGATAGAATGCAGCTTTCACAACTCACATGCGTATAGATGCATGCAGTTGGGGTATACACATATTATACACAGTTATTTCATAACTATTATCATGAGACATGAGTGTGCACATAGTACTCTTTAGGGCCAGTCTTAGATCCATCCCTGCAACAACCCCATTTAATGTTACTCGGCTCTGATTTTACAAACGTTTTATGGGAATTACAATAAAAGTGGAAGATACATAAATACTCTCATGCTTTACTTGTGGGCAAATCTTTAATGATGAGAATAGACACCTGTACAATAAAGTATAAATATATAGAGAGAGCGTAATCTGAGATATTTAATAAAAACATTCTTCAATAAAAATATTGGTGATAGATGTATTATAAATTGTTCTTTTTAATAATTTTATCTATCTATCTATCTTAAGATAAAGGTCATCCCACGTAAGCCTATTGTAGATTTCAAACGGTAGATAATATTTCACTAGCTGAATCTTTGGCTTTTTTCCTTTCAGTCTGGTCAATGTCAATAACATGAATTGCTCCTGCTTTTAGAATTAGGTCATCTGCATCCAGCTGGCTTCTGGTGTCATCCACTTCAATATATTTCCCTTTTGTTTTCTGTGTAGCCTTTTTAAGAGCATCTTTAAAATTCTGCTTGAGTTCAGAATCAGGGCAATAAATATAATCGTAAGCAGCTCCAGCACATACAGCTCCAATAATCGGACCAACCCAGTAAATCTAAATCATAAAAAATACAGTATTTTAAACGGGTAGTTTGAGATTGACCTTGATAAAATGTATAAGAAACTCACTGTAGATATTTTAGGTGACCTTTCTAACTATTTAATTATGTTCTTAAGTGTTTGAATGCATGATAATTATCCCACTGTGACTTTAGTAAATGTATTCTATATTTTATTTACAGGTAGAACCTTAGTGGATGATTTTCCCCCAATTGACAGTTCTAACTTGAGAAAATTACTTTTTATATGTTGAAAGGTATATGCACATATCTGGTTATTTACTAAAGTGTGATTTATCTCGAATTTCAAGTGAATTTCCAATTTAAGGCCAAAAAACATGAATAATATAACTTTCCTAGTCATGGACTATTATTTTAAACTGCTTTTGAATTTACTTTGAAATTTGAACATGACATCTAAATATCATCACATATTATAACACGCCAATGCACATTCTCTCTTTTTCACTAAACTCCAAATTAGAGCAAGTTAAGGCCTCAATTTAATATTGTTAGGTAAGCTTTTCAAATAATTTAAAATTTGGGGGGGGGAAATTACAATATTTCTTTAGAAATATTAAAATATATCATAAACATCAAAATATTAAAATATTTTACAGCTCATTGAATTATTTTAAATGTGTATCCAAAAATATGAAATCGTTTGAAGAGCATATTCTTATTCTAATAGCAAACATTTAAAATTCCTTTGCTTAGAAGAAGTATTTTCTGATTTTTTTTAATATAACTTTTACCAAATATTTAACTATTTGATAATGGATATTCTAAGAATTGCGGTATTACCCAGTGATTTTCCCATTTCCAAATGATGACAGCAGGGCCAAGGGATCGTGCCGGATTCATACTTGCTCCTGTGTAGTTAATCTATTGAAATAAGCAGAACCAACAAGTTTGTATCAGTTGTGCTTGAAATACTTTACTCCTCTTAGATAGCATGTCATAAAATGCAATTTCCAGTTTAATTTTATATACACACACACACACACCAGGAGTTGCAACAGGATCTCCCCAGCTAGCCCAGAGTGTCCCAGGTGCAGAAATTACAGAGAGCTCTCCCTTGCACAATGGCACGTCTCAGTGAGTCAGAGTGCTGCTGTGGGCTACCATAGCAACACTCCGACTTACTGGTAAAGTGAGAGAGTGAGACTCAAAAGGGGTCTGCAGGTGTGGAAGGTGCAGACCGCAAGCTCTACCAGAACGCTAGGAATTAATCAGGTTTCATGCCCTCTCACTGGCCACCAAAGGCAGTCAATAGGGAAGGTCAGCAAAAAAGATCATATTAAGTATATTTCACTAAGCCTCCACAGCAATCTTGCAAATACCCCACACACAATACACACACACACACACACAACTTCATAAACAGCCCTCTACATAAATCAGCAAAAACAGCCCCAATGAAACTCACACACAGACAAATACTATAGTCAATTCCCATATACACTCTTAACATCACAGACAGCACACACACAAAAGCCCAGAAAGCTCACACATACCACAGACAGCCCACACACATACATAACGTAACAGGCAGGCCACATACAATCACACATACACAACACTACACACAGATTATGTATACACTCACATAACACCACAGACAAAACACATACACACATCCTCAAAATGCATGCACCGCACCCATACGAAACCCAAGCAGAATTCCTCAACATACATAAGTGTTACTTAAAAAATTAGGGGCAACTCCCTAAGGGACTTCAACGTTTTTACACTGGCACAGCACTTCCAAATTTAGCAAGATTCATAAATACATAAATATGCAATTCATCACTTTGATACCTTAAACTATTTTGTTTCTAATTTTCAATTGTGTATCAGAGTTTATGTCTATCATTAATGGCATGCAGAACAAAAAATAGTTTGAATTATCAAGCAAAATTTAATTACCCTAGCTTTAAAGCTTACATTATATCTGCACAAAAACTGTCATCTTAACTACTATTTTTTTCATACATACTGTATTTTGTATGTGAAAAGAAAATAAAGGACTCACTCCAAGTACATATATCCAAATAATTGTGAAATAAATGTGTCAAAAGCAGTAATCATGAATATTTATTCCTAAAATGAAAACATTCACTACAATACTTGATGGGAATATTTGTGACATTTGTCTTAATATACATATATTGAACAATTTCATTCTACATGCCACATTACAAAGTATGGATATATTTGCTTTCTCTACTCCATAGTGATATATTTAGATATTCATTTTATTATGGCTGATCTGTCATAATGTATATTAATCTGCACTCATGTCGCTTTAACCCCTGTATCACAACTCAACTTTGAATTCTATGTGTCGTCTTACTCAGAAATGCTTCAGACTTGAGAAAGGGAGGTTCTCCCGAAAGCTTGTCATTAAAAAATTCTGTTAGACCAATAAAAAAGGTATTACAAGATATGAATGTTATCTGCTTTTTACGTGTATATTAATTTAAAATGTACAGAAAAAAGACAGGTGTAGGTGCTCGCTATAATGTGCACAGGCAGCAGTAAATCTACAAGAATTCTCAAACCTTGCGTAAGATACAGAAATGTGACAAAACAGTTGATAAACCGCACCAAAAAGAACTAAAAAAAAAAATCACACAGGTATATTCAATCTTAACAATAACCCTATAGTGTGTAATAAAGATCTATATGTGTATTCTCTCTGGAGTAAAGTGATTTTGTATTTCGGTACCAGGAAACCTCAAAATAAAACAGAAATACAACAAAATAGTGTAATATGTATTAATGGTTTCACAGACAGATAAGTATATAGGTGTCTCACTCACACTTTTATGAGCTACTGAGAGCTCTGCTGTTTGGCACTTTGATAGTTATGTTTTAATTAATACTAGTTTATAGGTGTTGCTTTAGCATATGAAAGGGTTAGGTCAAGAGATTTAAAGACTTACTTATCCCGGACCTTGCCTTCCGTTCTCGCTCTCATTTATATTTCCTTTAGGGGTTAACCCCCATTAACTATTAGCAACCTGACACACTCTCCCTACTTACATTGTTATTTAGGTTATATTATAGATTAAATGTTTTATATAGACAAACAAGTATAACAAAATAAAAATAGAACAATTTTAACAGACAAAAGCAAGAGCAAAAAAATAAATAAAAACAAACATGTATAACAAATGCTATATTGGCATACTTACAGCAAACAAGTGTCCAACCATAACAGAAATTCCAATACATAGTGTAGACAATTTGTCTTTGTGCTTTGAATCACAAGCTGCGCTAATTGTAAAAACTAATTGGAATGTAATTAAAATCTCTATAAGAAGTCCATGCCCAACAGAAAGTCCTTCATTCAGCTGTGAATTACATAAATTAGAAAATATACACATGGTTAAAAAAGGCCCTAGGTTGCAAGAACAAGACCTGCCAAAAATGGGGTACATTGGTGTTGTGGCTGGCTTATGCAACGTATTATCATATACTGTAACAAAAAAAAAACAACATTATATTTGCTTGTCAGGTGTTTTTTTTTTTTTTTTTTTTTTAAAGCTGGTGTTTAGTGAGTTTGTGAGTGCACTTGATCTTGTATACCCTTTAATCCCCACAGGGATTTCCATTCTGATAAAAGTCTGAGACAAATGAAAAGTGAATAAAGAATCAAGCTGCTTGATCATACATTTGGCTGGGGGTTGAGCCACAAGGGGAAAGGGGGAAGAGCTACAAAGAGGGGTTAGAAACACAAAGTGGGTAGGAGACACAGTGGGGTAAGAGACCAGTCCTCATGTACATTAATTACAATCACCATAATGCTCCTTCATTGCTTTCTGAAAATCATGGGAGTTAAAATCACACATCTTTCCTTTTTATTTTCTTTACCGTTGTTAGTATGGTATAGAGAAAAAACAATTGCTGTTCTTATTGTGATTCTCAAGAGCTGAGTGAGCATTAGGAGAACTGAAATTTAGGTAGATTGAGTGTAATATGTGATTTTCCCTTCTAGCACTTAATTTACAAAAGATTGCAATTTTATCCATACTCACCCAGCTTGCAATCATGTTTTTTGTTTTGTTTCAGCACAGGTTGATTAACACAAATGATAAGTTGGTGCTCCTACATTTACAAATGCATTAAACTTATACACACCTACATAAAAGGATTTACTTGAAGATGTTCACATTAGCCATGCCCATCAGTTGCCATATTATATAAACCATATACATTGTTACACATGTATACTAAAATGTGACCTTCCCATATTTGACATCAAAGCACATGCAGTTATTTCTAGTTTTGCAGATTTTGTGGGTGCTCCTCTAGAACAGTGCAGCCCGAAAGGTAGATCCCCAGATGTTTTAAAACACCAGTCTCCATGATGCTTTGTCATTCTAAAAACATGCAAAGCACCATGGGAGTTCTACTTCTACAACATCTGGGGATCTGCCATTTCTCCCCCTGCTCTAGAACAATAAATATATATAGTTTAAAGAATTTAACTTATTTTGCCAAAAATTGCCTCAAATTTTTCATCATAGTCTGGTATGTGCAGAAATATTGGGACAATCTAGGCACCTTAACCACTACAGTTCCTTTTACTGGTTACGCTGTAGTGAGTTTTCAGATGCTGTTTCTTGTTAAACCATTTTCAAGGCATCAGAAAAAAAGGGGTTCTCCCCAGAACCCAGATTCCTGCATCACTGTAGATACTTGGATAATGTGGAAGTTACAGCAAAGAATGGCTGTACACACTGGGCTAACCTATACCCAAGGTTTGACTGTATAGTATAGAAGTATAACGTTCTCATTCTCAGAGCAGCTACAAAGGGGCTGAGAGTTGGTCTGTCTTTTATGTTGTACAATAAGTTCTTTTTTTAGTAATGACATCTTAGATATTTGTCTGCATTTCATATACACCCTGTTCTAAATTATTATGCAAATTATATTTTTCTCATTTACCTAAATAATTGATGTAAATAACAGTCAGCATAATTCTCATGTTATCAACTATTAAGAGTACAAAACCTCCTAATGATAACAGTATTTTTTTTAAACATAAAAAACTTACAATGCACTGTTCCAAATTATTGCGCACAGTAAGTTTCAAAACACTTTATAGGTTGTAAAGAACTGAAAATTGACATTTGTTGTGTTTGCAGCATATTTACTGAAATCAAAAGCTATTTCAATCAAATTTATAACAACATTTTAACTTTTTAAACATTTTAACAGGTCACGTTACATTTTAACATAGGACCCCTTATTTGATAGCAGCTTCACAAGTCTTGCATCCATTGAACTTGTGAGTTTTTGGACAGTTTCTGCTTGAATTTGTTTGCAAGATGTCAGACTAGCCTCCCAGAACTGCTGTTTGGATGTAAACTGCCTCCCACCCTCATATATATTTTGCTTGAGGATGCTCCGAAGGTTCTCAATAGGATTGAGGTCAGGGGAGGATGGAGGCCATACCATGACTTTCTCTCCTTTTTTCCCCATAGCAGCCATTGATGCAGAGGTATTCTTTGCAGCATGAGATAGTGCATTGTCATGCATGAAGATAATTTTATTACGGAAAGCATAGTTCTTTCTTCTGTACCAGGGAAGAAAGTGGTCAGTCAGTCCACATACTTTGCAGAGGTCATCTTTACACCTTCGGGGACCCTAAAGGGGCCGACCAGCTCTCTTCCCATGATTCTGGTCCAAAACATGACTCCACCAACACCTTGCTGACGTCGCAGCCTTGTTGGAACAGGGTGGCCGTCCACCAACCATCCACTACTCCATCCATCTGGACCATCCAGGGTTGCACAGCACTCATCAGTGAACAGGACTGTTTGAAAATTAGTCTTCATGTATTTTTCTGCCCAATGCAGCCGTTTCTGCTTGGGAGCATTGGTTAGTGGTGGCCGAATAGAAGGTTTATGCACATTTGCAAGACTCTGGAGGACTCTACACCTTGAGGTCCGTGGGACTCCAGAGGCACCAGCAGCTTCAAATATCTGTTTGCTGCTATGTAATGGTATTTTAGCAGCTGCTCTCTTGATCGGATACGTGGATCTTGCAGAAATCTTCCTCAATGTGCTTTTATCTGCACAAACCCGTCTGTGCTCTGAATCAGCCACAAATCTCTTAATAGTGCGATGATCACGCTTAAGTTTTCATGAAATATCTAATGTTTTCATACCTCGTCCAAATCATTGAACTATTTCACTCTTTTCAGCAGCAGAGAGATCCTTTTTCTTTCCCATATTGCATGAAAATGGTGCTCTGCTTAAAGGACCACTATAGAGCCAGGAAAACATACTTGTTTTTCTGGCACTAGAGTGCCCTGAGGGTGCCCCCACCCTCAGGGTCCCCCTCCCGCCCGGCTCTGGAAAGGGGAAAAGGGGTAAAACGTACCTATTTCCAGCACTGGGCGGGGAGCTCTCTGCCTCCGATCCTCCTCCGTTCCTCCCCGTCGGCTGAATGCGCACGCGCGGCAAGAGCTGCGCGCGCATTCAGCCGGTCGCATAGGAAAGCATAATGCTTCCCTATGGACGCTTGCGAGAATCACGCAAGCGCCTCTAGCGGCTGTCAATGAGACAGCCGCTAGAGGCTTTGGGGGAAGGCTTAACCCATTTAAAAACATAGCAGTTTCTCTGAAACTGCTATGTTTATAAAAAAATGGGGTTAACCCTAGCTGGACCTGGCACCCAGACCACTTCATTAAGCTGAAGGGGTCTGGGTGCCTAGAGTGGTCATTTAACCCCTTAAGACCGGAGGGCGTACTATTACGCCCTATTATAGGCGGCTCTAAACACCGCCGGGCGTAATAGTACGCCCTCTGGTCTTTCGGTGCTTACCCAATCGCGGTTGGGGGGACTCCCAGGGAGCCCCCCGCGGCATGTCCGACCCCCTGGAAGCCCCCCAGCCATGTGAGAGTGGGGTCCTTGCGAGGACCCCACAATCACATGGCCGGGGGTAGCTGGCTGCAGCATTGCCAGCATGGGGGCTGCCTGTAATGACATGTGGTCCCCCTGCTGGCTGAAAATAAAATTAATGAAAGTTTCTAAGTGTAAAAAAAATAATATATATACTTAGATCATATATATATATATATATTATAGATATATTATCTAAGTATATATATATACACATATACATACACACACATATACTGTCTAGGTGTATTTTACTATTAATATATATATAATTATATATATATATATATATATATATATTAATATCAAATTACACGTAGACGGATACTGATTAAATATATATATATATATAATTATTGTTATATATATATATTTATATATAATATAAAAAAATTAAATATGTAAATACGTTAAAAAAAATTTTTGTAAAAATAATAAAAAAATATATAGATGTGTGTCATTTCGTTCTAACTGTATTGTGATATTAATATATATATATTTATATCAAAATACACGTAGAACGAATATATATCTACATACATAAATATATACGTATATATCACTATATATATACCTATATATAAATAAAAATATTTTTAAAAAAATTATATATATATACACATATAGATTCACATACGTATATATATACATATATTAATTCTACATATTTATTTATGTAATATTTTACATAATTAGGTATCTTAATTAATTACAATTAGCGGGACCTGCCTGACAACCCATGCCGAGAGTAAAGGGAATTTAATTTGCTAGCACTATATTTAACCCTATAACTTTCCAAGACACCATAAAACCTGTACATGTGGGGTACTGTTCTACTCGGGAGACTTCGCTGAACACAAATATTAGTGTTTCAAAACAGTATTACAACAATGATATTGCCAGTAAAAGTTAAGTTTTTTGCATTTTTCACGCACAAACAGCAGTTACACAGATGATATTATTGCTGCGATACTTTTTACTGTTTTGAAACACAAATATTTGTGTTCAGCGAAGTCTCCCGAGTACAACAGTACCCCTCATGTACAGGTTTTATGGTGTTTTCAAAAGTCACAGCGTCAAATATAAGGCTTGTGTTTCATTTTTTTTCACATTGGTTACATTGCCTTTGAGACCCTATGGTAAGAATGAAAATTACCCCTATGATGGCATACCATTTGCAATAGTAGAAAACCCAAGGTATTGCAAACAGGGTATGTCCAGTCTTTTTTAGTAGCCACTTAGTCACAAACACTGGCCAAAATTGGCATTTTTTGCATTTTTCACACACAAACAAATACTAACGCTAACTTTGGCCAGTGTTTGTGACCAAATGGCTACTAAAAAAGACTGGACATACCCCATTTGCAATACCTTGGATTGTCTACTATTGCAAATGGTATGCCATTATGGGTGTAAATTTAATTCCTGGGCTACTATAAAGTCCCAAAGGCAACGTAACCTATCTGGTGACTTTCAATTTCAAATGTAACGTGCTATATTTGACCCTGTAACTTCCCAAAACGCCATAAAACCTGTACATAGGGGGTACTGTTTTACACGTGAGACTTTGCTGAATACAAATATGTGTATTTTATTGCAGTAAAAGCACACAGTATTATGACAGTCACAGTTAAAATGTCATGTAGAACTAAAAAAAAAAACCATTTCTTGAGACCTAAAAAGATCAATCAATATAGAAAGCATGTTATAGATCATACAGATGATTTTTTAGAATCGACTCCCCAATGGGAAAAAGACAAAACATTCCCTTTATTCAAACGCCCCCAGAAAAGGAGGGGGGCTCTCGTAGAGGAACGAGGGGAAGGGGAAAACAGTCCCGCCAAAATGAGATGCCTCTAATTAAAGGTTTATTTAACCTGTCAACATATAATCTAAATGCGGGGGAAATCTCTCTTTTGAATAAAGGACTTAAGTATGCTCCCGATAGATTACCAAACATAATTGATTTGTTTAAAGACCTAAACCACTTTATTAGAAAACTTACGGTCATCAGATCTTTTAATCTTAGGGATGCCAAGGGCAGAGAAGTTTGTCCAAAGTCCTTAAATACCCCACAGGATAAAATTATTTTTCATAATCTTGTCGCATTATTAGAAGAACAGGATTCGCAAGGAGAGAAGGACGACCTTATATGTATACTTGAGTCCAATATTTCATCTGGTTTAAAACCCCCCTCGACCTTTTACCCACAGGGAGATAAAGGCCCTTATTTACAAATGTTCTATGAATTAGTCCTGAAAGACCTGAAAATTCTATGTGTTGATTACAAAAAGAAAAAAGATCGAGTGTGTATTAATTTGGAGGCATCTGAGAGAGCAGCTATTACCAGCCTAAAGAATAATCACAATCTTATTATTAAAGGGGCAGATAAGGGAGGGGGTATTGTCCTGTTGGATAGAGTGGATTACTTACAGGAAGCTGAGCGAATTTTAGGGAATCCAGAGTATTATGAGATTTTAGAGTCAGACCCTACTACATGTTTTAGAAGGGAACTGAGAGACCTTATTGAATCAGCATTTCTAAATGAAGCCATTGATAAGAAAGAGAGGAATTTTTTCCTCTCAGCTCAAGGAGAGATCCCCATTTTCTATTACCTTCCCAAGGTGCACAAATCGCTTGAAAAACCACCGGGTCGCCCTATCATATCAGGGTTAGGGTCTCTAATTGCACCGATTTCTAAGTGGGTCGATTTCCATCTACAACGTTTTGTTCCACATCTACCGTCCTTTTTGAAGGATACTGGACATGTGTTGTCCATCGTCAAAGAGTTAGAGTGGAAGGAACACTACTGTTGGCTCACGATTGATGTGGCAGCTCTATATTCTAATATAGACCATGCTCTGGGTTTAAAAGCTCTGACCTGGTATTTAAATTCTGATCCCCTCCTTCCAGCTCAACAGTCTGAATTTGTCATCAGGTTCACCGAATTTATGCTGAAACATAATTATTTTGAGTTTAATGGCAATTTTTTTGTACAGACTAAAGGAACCGCGATGGGGGCGAGTTTCGCCCCGTCCTATGCCAATTTATTTATGGGCTACTGGGAACAAGTTACGATCTTTGCTAACCAGTTTTGGATGGGGCGACTCGCACTCTATCGTAGGTTCATTGACGACATCCTTATCATCTGGAAGGGTAATTGGGGTGAAGTAGAGGATTTTATGACATCCATCAACAATAATCAATGGGGCCTCTCTTTCACACATAAACAACATAAATCTACTATAGATTTTCTGGATCTCACCCTTATTGGGGTTGAGGGCAAAATTATCACCAAGACCTACCAGAAAAGTGTGGATGTTAATGGGTATCTACATGCCAGAAGTGGGCATCATCCCACGTGGATTCATAATATCCCTTCAGGGCAGTTCACCAGAATCAGACGTAACTGCTCCTTTATGTGTGACTATGAAAAAGAGGCACTATTGCTCTCCCAACGTTTTGTAGAGAAAGCTTATCCCCTGAGGATTATTTTGGATGCCTATTTGAAAGGCATTGAGTTTGGGAAGGTACCACGGACAGAGGCTCATAATAAAACTTTACTCATGATGAACTCCCCTATACCATCCTTATATAGAGGACTAGAATATCACTCCAGAGAACACTTCAAGATCCTTGAACTTCTGGGTGGGTCCTGTGGCCATTCTCTGAAAAAAGCAAAATTTAATATCAGCACCAAAGAGGTTGGTACAGGTAAAACACCCATATTCTCCACTACCTTCAATATAGGTTTTGATGAGATTATAGGAATTTTTGACAAATATTGGCCAATATTGACCAGTGACCCTTGGTTGTCATTTTGTATTGCAAAGGTTCCAAGGGTTACCTTTAGAAGGGCCCCTAATTTGAAAAACATTCTAGCTCCTTCGAAGCTATATTGTCGAAATGTAGGACACCAGGTAGTTCGCCAAGAGGTTGCAGTTAACAAGCGTTGTGGTCATGCTAAATGTTTAAGTTGTGGATTTATTTGTCATCAACATTTCACATTTAGCTCGTTTAATAGTACTGAGATCTTTTCTGTGCAGTCACCAATCACCTGTAACACTTCTTTTGTGGTTTATCTCCTCATTTGTCCCTGTGGACGGCAATATGTGGGCCAAACTATCAGACCCTTGAAATGTAGGTTTCGAGAACATAGGACAGCCATATTACGGAATGACAGCAGATCCCCGGTGGCCCGTCACTTTGCTATTTTTCATGATAATAATCCTGTTGGCCTTAAACTAATGGGAATAGTACATATTCCCTTCCATCAGGATGAAGCGAAGAGAAAACGTGAATTAATTAAGGCCGAATCAGTGTGGATCTTTAAGTTGAATTCCATGTCACCTAATGGCTTAAACGAGGAATTAGAATTATTCTGATATGTTACAGTGAATTATGTTTTTTATCCTAAATTATATATAATCGTTATGTTGTTTATTTATTTTTTTTTATTTATTTTTTATTTTTTCTGTTACATATATTGTTTTTTGTACCTGTTGCCTGACCTAAATATTAGGACTATTTGAATGTTTTTACATTTATTTCCTTTATATTTAAGTTTAATCATATTTTGATAAGATGTGTTATATACATGCAAGTGAATCCAATTCTGTATTTTCTGATTGCCTTATTTGTGGGGTATATATACCGGGTTACTCTACACCGTATTTCCTGTCTTGATAAAGTCCCGTGGGAGGGACGAAACGCGTAGACGGATGAATCGGATGAACCTACACTTGCTGTGATTGAGGAGTGAGAGCAGGAAGCACTTTTGTATTTTGGCGGTTTTTTCCACCGGAGAAACTCATTTGGCATTGAAGCTGTAACGAGCTGTGGCGTTGAGTGTGTCCTGTATATATCGCGGTCTTTTTTGAAGATCCCGACCGCGGTATATTTTACATCATTTTGAGGAACCATCTGTGCCACTTGTTGGACTTTACCATCTCTCCAAGTTTTTCATTTTTGCCTCCAGCTCATTTTATTCAGTATTATTTTTTCTACACGTTCTGTGTATACACCTCGGTGGGGGGCCCACACCGAGGAAAGGTACTTTTTATATCGATTACAGTATATACTTAGTTTAATATGACGTGTTAGAATTGTTATACTTGTATTTGTGTCTAATAGGGATGCTACTCTGACACTTTGTTACTTTTTTACTTAGTGTCGGAGATTATCCTTTTGACCTATTTGTTCACTTTGTATTTTTGTGTGATTATATTTGCCTTTCTTAAGGGATACATTGTTTTTTATCCCATATTAGCAAGTCTAGGTCATCTTTGATCTGGTTTTTTACATTTGATATTCTATTTTTTGGAATAAAATACTGATTTATTGATTTGTTTACATTCTTAATTACCACATGTTTTATGATTAAGGAGCGCACACGCTTTGTTTAACTTTTGAGCTTATACTCATTTTTAGTCGCTGGTGGATGTGTGTAGCTGCTCTTATTTTTATTTTTTGTTTTTTATGTATTGCACCTATATTGTATATTTTATTTTATTGCAGTAAAAGCAAACAGTATTATGACATTGACAGTTAAAATGTCATGTAGAACTAAAAAAATTTAAAAAATCTTATTTTCTCCCATTTTTTTCATATTAAATTATGTTTCACAGCTAAATATTTGATATTAAATGAAAGCCCTCTTTCCCCTGAATAAAATGATATATAATAAGGGTGGGTGCATTTAATATGAAAGAGGTGAATTACGGTTGGACAGACATGTAGCGCAAATGCCAGGTTTTGTTTACATTTTGTTTCGTTCACAACGTGTACATTTGGCTCTGTCCTTAAGGGGTTAATAATGTGGAACACCCTCCTTTAGTAGTTTTTCCTTAAATTGGGCTCACCTGGCAATCTAACTATCACAGGTGTCTGAGATTGTTTTCAGTGATCAAAAGAGCCCTGAGACACTATGCCATCCATGAGTTAAACTGAATATTTCATCTTTGTGACACTTAAATAGAATTTGCATAATAATTTGGAGCAGGGTGTAATTGTAAAATTCGAATTCATGTAAAAATATAACATTGTGGCACTAACCTGTTTAAATGGACATAGAATCAGATTACATGCCAGGATGGAAGTGACCCATCTTTTTAAAGCATTATATAGATAACACATTAAATAAATAAACAATAAATTAAACATAACAGAAAAAATGTTAATCAAATAATTGTTACACTTATTTCGAAAATCTAAACTTTATTCATTAAACACCAAAATATATAGAACTGAAAAATGCCTTTTTGGTTGAAATGCACCAATGAATAATACTTTTGCTTAAATAAAACTACACAGAAAGATATATTTACCGCAGTCACTCCTAAGGTGCCGATCACATTTACAGGCGTTATGATAAACAGAAGTCCAGCTGCAGTAATGGCACCCAAGCACTGTGCAGCGATGTAAAATATTGACTTGGCAAGTGTTATTTTCCTTGTACATACAAATGCAATGGTCACTGCAGGATTGATATGAGCTCCACTGATATGTCCAAAGCAATGCACCATAGTAACAATACTGAACCCAAAACAAAGAGATATGCGAACAACATCTGCTTGCTGAAGATTGTCTTCTACACCCCAATTTATTGTTGAGCCAACGCTGAGAAGAACAAAAATAAGCATAGCCATAAATTCTCCAGAGACAGCTTTCCAGAAAGACTGAGTCCATACGCCTTTGAAAGCCACCATATTTGTACACAATTGTTATTCCTAGAAGAGAAATAGGGAAATTCAGAAATAATTTTAGAACTACTTCAAGCGGCATTACTAATTATAAACCTTGCATATGTTATGGTACAAGGAGCTTCTTAATTTAATTAATTCTAGTTATTTTAAACCTACTCGTGTTGTATGATATCAAAGAGGAAGCTATTCTTCCTCTGGTAGTTCAGAATGTGTCATCCCATGTGACGCACAAGCAGTGGACATCCTAATTTAAATGGCTGTCACATAGCTTTTTAGGAAATAGCCTGCACAGCTGAATCAAATTGCTAGATAGCGTAAGCAATGTACCACACAAAATCGTTTTGCCCCACAGGTACAGAGCAATTTAGATGTTAGAGAATAACTCTGTACATGAAATACTAAGACGTGTCCGAGCCACTTTAACTCTGTTGACTAAATTGTGGGGAGTATGTAAAAATCCTATGTATGAAATCTAAAATAGTTAGACTTCTAAATTTGACCCTGTATTATCAAAACATCGCTGCAAAGGTCTACATAAGTGTGCTATTGTTCTCAAATGCAGTTGATTTGATCTTCTGGCACTGAAGCATACATTTAAAATGGACAGAGAAGGTCACTTTAACTTCAATGATACTTTATTAATTGTTGTGATACGTTTGTGTTCAGCGAAGTCTCCGGAGTATAACAGTACCCCTCATGTGCAGGATTTATGGTGTTTTGAAAAGTTAGAGTGAAATATGAGGCTTGTGTTTCAGTTTTTTCACACTGAAATTCGTATACTATAGTGCACGACAAATGGTATGCCATCACAGGGGTAATTCTCATTCCTGGACTACCATATGGTCTCAAAGGCAACGTAATCAATCTGGCAAATTTCAATGTGAAAAAACTGAAAAATGTAACATGCTATATTTGACCCTGTAACTTTCCTAAAACACCATAAAACCTGTACATAGGGGGTACTGTTTTACACGTGAGACATCGCTGAATACAAATATGTGTATTTCATTGCAGTAAAAGCACACAGTATTATGACAGTCACAGTTAAAATGTCATGTAGAACTAAAAAAAAAAAACATTTCTTGATTTCTCACATTTTTTTAATATTTTATTTATAGTAAATTATGTTTCATAGCTAAATATTTGATGTTAAATGAAAGCCATATTTCCCCTGAAAAAAATGATATATAATAAGTGTTGGTGTACTTAATATGAAAGATGGGAATTACGGTTGAACAGACATATAGTCAAATTCCAAGTTTTGTTTATGTTTCATTTTGATCAAAAGGCGTACATTTGGCTCAGTCCTTAAGGGGTTAAACAGCGTTCACATTATTGCTCTTTCACTTGTTTAGTATATAGGTTTTTAATTTGGTATTATTAAAATGACAATCTCACATAAGGGTACCAAATTATTAAGTTATCTACTAAACTGCCAAAAGATATAAATTAAAAGTTTATTTTTGCTCTTTCAGCGGTGTAGTAAATAGCTCCCTAATTTAGTATCCTTAAAATGCAATCCCACATTAGGGTACCACATCATGTTATAAATTATAAGTGCATCACTTGTGTTTTTCCCTACTTTTTTCATGAGCTGTTCTAGCACTTTTTCTATGTACACAAATTTCTCTCAAATATTGTTCACAGATCTGTCTAAATCTGTGTTAGTGAGCACTTCTCCTTTGCCAAGATAATCTATCCACCTCACAGGTGTGGCATATCAAGATGCTGATTAGACAGCATGATTATTGCACAGGTGTGCCTTAGGCTGGCCCCAATAAAAGGCCACTCTAAAATGTGCAGTTTTATCACACAGCACAATACCACGGATGTCGCAAGTTTGCAATTGGCATGCTGACTGTAGGAATGTCGACCAGAGCTGTTTCCCATGAACTGAATGTTCATTTCTCTACCATAAACCATCTCCAAAAGCATTTCAGAGAATTTGGCAGTACATCCAACCAACCTCACAACACATATATACATTCTATACACATGCAGTGTTACATCTACCACTTCCATTGAATCTCTGTACTTGTATCTACTACTCTTTCTATTTCACTGCTAGCCTTTTCTGCTGCTACCCTTTCTATATAAGACTTGTATACAGACGTATAGGATGTCTTTTATATACACATTATGCTTATAGAAAGTCTGTAATATACACAGGATAGCAAATTAGGGAGTAGTCTTCTAATCAATTAAAGTATAAAAATAAAGTAAAGCCATTTTCTTAAATTTGATCCGTCAGCTGTCCTAACGGTACCCTTATGTGTGATGGTCATTTTAAGGATAACAAATTAGAGAGCAACCCAACAGCTGGTTACTAATGGCAATGCCACATAAAATATAGGATATCAAAGTAAGGAGCTATCTAATAAACAGCTGAAAGTACAAAAATAACCAAAAAAGACATTTTCCCAATTTTACTGTTGCAGTTGTTAGGTACCTAATTTGCTATCCTCATGAAAATAAATGTATTCCAAAAAGTTTGTTTCAATATATTCTAAATTTTGGTTCATTTCATTATTCACTAAAGTTCAAGCACAAAACCAAATGTGGCCAAAGCATGGGGCCATTCAGACGGTAATATTCGGGCATTTTTTATGGAATTCATCAATGTCCAGATTTTGTAATTCAGGCTCCAAATATGCCTGAAATTGATCTGGATTTCAGGGCTGAACTCCACTGGATGGCTGTAATACAGGCCACATGCTGCAATTCCAAGCTTGGATATATGAATTCCGGGCCTGGAATTGCCAGGGGGCAAATTGTTCTGTTTTTTTTTTAGTTGGCCATCAGCCACATCTAAAAAAAAAAGTAATAAAAACAGTAATAATAATACAAAGAAAATCCTATGGTTGTCAATAACACCCTCATAATACTATCATGGAGCACTGCAGTAAGTAGAATCAATAAAATGCAAGGAGGAAATCTATTCATTAATCAGTGCAAGTACCCAAATTAACTGCTTTATTTCCCTATTGCATTGCACCGCCTTCATTTAATAAGGAGTATTGTGTCGAGGAAAATATGGCACATCTGACAACTAAGGCAACTATTGCAATCTCCACCGCCGGATTCCGTCACCGGGGGACCCCCTTTTTCACCGCCACTCCGGCTATAAATCGCAACCCCTCCACCTTACCCAGCTCCCTGACGCACATTAACACAGTCACGGCGACCGCCATTTTAACACAACCCTGCAGTGCCGTGAGTGCCGCAAGCGGATATGCACAGAGCGATTTATAGCCGCCGGGGCGGCGGTGAAAAAGGGGTCCCCCCGTGACGTAACCCGGCGGTGGAGACCGCCGGCAAGATAGACCAGGTCTGCCCGAGGGCGGGGCAGTGAAAAAGCTTGACGAAGCAAGATTAAGCACAGTGAGAAGGAAATGTATAAATATAACAGATAAATGGAACCTAGATAATTAAAAACTGAACAAATAGACTAGAAATATGCATAGAGATCTGACAATATAGAAACCTATGAATATATAGTAAATATCTATGGAAATATATATATATATATAAATATAATGTAATCTGAACAATAGAGAGAAAATACAAGGGAAGAGCCAAAAACTCTGACCTGTTGCGATGGAGCCGTAAAGAAAGAAGGGGAGGAGCCTATTTACTGGGATACTATACTCCCTATTGCATTTTTGATTGGTTAAATGTTTCACTTTCTTTACTGCTGTGGAGTTTAGTAAAGAGAGTTATGCAAAATAGGAAGCCTCCTGTCATTAAAATTAAGATTATAAGTACACTAGCGCTAGCATAATCTTCAATTTACCTCTTTCAGGAGAAATAGGGCTTTCATGTCACATCAAATATGTATATATGAAACATAGTTTAAAATTAATAAAATCTAAAAAATTTGAGAAATTAAGAAATGCTATTTCCAAGTTCTGCATGCCATTTTAACAGTGAATTCATAATACTGTTAGCTTTTACTGCAATAAAATATACATGTACAGTTTTTATGTTGTTTTGGAAAGTAACAGGATAAAATATAGGGCTTTCCCCTTTTCAGTTTATATACATTGACATTTGCTGTTGCCTTTGAGACCATATGACATACAATTTGCAAAAGAAGGGTATTCAAAATGGAGTATGTCCAGTCTCGTTTAATAGCTACTTAGAATAAATTTATGCAAACAAGGTTTGTGACTAAGTTTATATGTGTATTATTTTACATTATACAGTACAGATGTATGAATTACATATGAAATGCACATTGATGAAGTAATATTATGTATGTGTGAGAAAAACACAATGTTATATTTACCAGAACTTGGATGCAATTGTAGTGTAGAAATACCCCTGGGGCCTTGAGGTAACTCATTTAGAAAAAAAAAAAGGTTTGTGTAGCAATTTTATTTTGTGTTACTGCTGTTAAAGGACCACTATAGGCACCCAGACCACTTCAGCTTAATGAAGTGGTCTGGGTGCCAGTGTCAGATAGGATTAACCCTTTTTTTTTTTAATATACATAGCAGTTTCAGAGAAACTGCTATGTTTACACTGAGGGTTAATCCAGCCTCTAAAGCCTCTAGTGGCTGTCTCATTGACAGCCTCTAGAGGCGCTTGCGTGCTTATCACAGTGAGAAGATGCCAGCATCCAAAGGAAAGCATTATGAATGCTTTCCTATGAGACTGGCTGAATGCGCGCGCGTCTCCTGCCACGCATGCGCATTCAGCCGATTACGTCGCTAGGAAGAAGGAGAGGAGGAGGCAAGCTCCCCGCCCGGCGCTGGAATAAAGGTAAGTTTTAACCCCTTCCTCTCCCCAGAGCCCGGCAGGAGGGGTCCCTGAGGGTGGGGGCACCCTCAGGGCACTACAGTGCCAGGAAAATGAGTATGTTTTCCTGGCACTATAGTGGTCCTTTAAACTTAGAGGGTAAGCATTTCATATTCTGAAAACTTATGCTTTAAAACTGCATTGTGTTCATTGCAATTTGTGACCAATAAATGCAAAAATAAAGTCAATTTTTATAAATCAAAAGAAACAAGTGGATTTACTTTTCTTTTGTTTGTCTAACTATATTCATATTATAGGTAAATTGTGGAAGAAACATTTTTTTAATTTGCATTATTTTGTATTTTTTCCTTAAGATAGACAGATGGATTTCACAGGTATTTCAGTTTCATTCATTAAATTAGCTTATCCGAAGGTGAATTAAAATGATGGAAGCCACCAGTCAGGACTGTAACTCCTGCTACACCTAGGCATGTATGTGTCGATTGTGACCAAGTTTCAGGGTCATACATAATAGTACATGAAAAAGATGTTCTTCGCAACAAAGAAATATTAATGTTGACTGTCTGTTATAAATGTCCAAAAATGATTAATTCCTCCAACATTCTAGATTTCATATATTTTATTTGTCTATAAGGTCACAAACCATCTTGCTATTTCATCACTGTATTGCCCATTAAACCTCAGAAGCTATCTCTTAAAATAAAACATATCTGTAATATATATTGCACACACATACAAATACACATAGAGATTTTTTTTCAGTCTCAGGGAATCAGCTCAACATAATAACAACAATATGTGTGTGAAGGTCCCTTACCTGGTAAATTCTGATTATCCTGATATCTTAAACCCAGTAATTCAAAACTCCTTGCTTTGCTTTCTAGTATTCTAATCCTGTACAGCATCAGGTTACTACCAGCTCCTCCCATTCATTAGGAAAACACCTGTGACATTTTTTCACCTCTTCCCCAATACATTACGCAATTGTCAAACACCTGATGCATGGTTCATATAAGCCATATTATATATTTCTCTGAGAATTTCTAATTTTCATTCAAAGCTTTTTTATGAAGAAACTATGATTTTCAATATGTAAAGAATAAACAGCAATACTACTTAAGGTGCTGAAACAATAAATTCATAATAAAGTATCAAGTTAAATTTAATCGTAAAGATGGAAAATATAATGTGATTTAAATTAAAGGGACACTGTAGTCACCAGAACAACTACAGCTCAATGTAGTTGTTTTGGTGTCTAAAGCCTGTCCCTGCAGGCTTTTTAATGTAAGCACTGCCTTTTCAGAGGGAAGGCAGTGTTTACATTACTTACTAGTAACACCTCCAGTTACAGTCACTCAGACGACCAGTAGAGGTGCTTCCAGGGTGTCTCTACTCTCTTAATAGAGGCAGTGAATGCTCCCAACAGAGGTGCCTTGATTCTCTATCAGGAGATGCTGATAGATGCAGTGTGGCATTTTGCTGTGCATGAGCAATGGCCTCCTGGCTTGGCTGAGTTTGTCAAGTTTGATCATCAGTCAAGGAAGGGGAACAGTGGTGTAGCCACTGTTTGTATTGGCCTCAAATATATGTTATACTCTGAGGAGCTGTTTTTCTAAACTAAACAGATTTAAAATAGTCTATTTTTCTTCCTAACTAAAATGTTCCATTCCTTTTATTAAAGGACCACTATAGTGCCAGGAAAACATACTAATTTTCCTGGCACTATAGTGCCCTGAGGGTGCCCCTACCCTCAGGGACCCCTCCCGCCGGGCTCTGGGGAGAGGAAGGGGTTAAAATCTTACCTTTCTCCAGCGCCGGGCGGGGAGCTCTCCTCCTCCTCTCCGCCTCCGATCCTCCTCTTCGGCTGAATGCGCATGCATGGCAGGAGCTGCGCGCGCATTCAGCCAGTCTCATAGGAAAGCATTCATAATGGCATCTTCTCACTGTGATTTTCACAGTGAGAAGCACGCAAACGCCTCTAGCGGCTGTCAATGAGACAGCCACTAGAGGCTTTAGAGGCTGGATTAACCGTATTATAAACATAGCAGTTTCTCTGAAACTGCTATGTTTATTAAAAAAGGGTTAATCCTAGAGGGACCTGGCACCCAGACCACTTCATTAAGCTGAAGTGGTCTGGGTGCCTAGAGTGGTCCTTTAAGTTTTAACCAGTTTCTGCATTTTTTCTTGTGCCATAATATCCATCTTTAGAAGAGTTGCCAAAAATTGCACATCATATTCAAGATTTAGTTTTACCATTGATTTATAGAGAGGCAAAATTATATTTTCATCTAGAGAATTAATACCCATTTTTATACATGACAATACCTTACTGGCCTTGGCAACTGCTGATTGACATTGCATATGGTTGCCTATTTTGTTCTCTATAACAATTCCCAAATCCTTCTCATGTGTCGTTATCCCTAATTCACTACCATTTAGGGTGTGAGTTGCTTGTGCATTCTTTACCCTGAAGTACATCATTTTTCATTTTTCTACATTAAATTTCATCTGCCATTTGAGTGCCCATTCCTCCAATCGGTCTAAATCCCTCTGCAGGAAAGCAATATCCTGTACATTGTATTACTTTACAGAGTTTTGTGTAATTTGCAAACACTGAAACATGACTTTCAATGCATATTTCAAGATCATTTATAAATATGTGAAATAGAAGTGGTCCCAGAATAGAACCCTGAGGACACCACTTACCACTTTTGTCCAGCTTGAAAATGTATCATTAATGACAACTCACTGTACTCTACCTTTGCACCAATGTTCTATCTAAGAGCAAGACTTTTCATCTAGACCAACTTTTAGTTTGACCACAGATTTATTGTGTAGAGCCATATTGAATGAGTTGGCAAAATCCAAGTAGATTACATCTATTGCAAAACCCAGATCTACACTTCCACGTATGTCTTTGTAGAATGCAACTAAGTTAGTTTGACATGACCTATGTTTCATAAAACTATGTTGATTTTTGCTAATAAAAATGTTCTTCCCAATTAATTCCTGAATATTATCCCTTAATAACACTTCAAATACTTTCCAATCCACACAACTTAAGCTCACAAGTCTATAATTTCCAGGTAACGATTGTGTACCTTTTTTGAATATATGAAAAACATCTGCCTTCCTCCAATCCTATGGTACAATTCCTGAAATAAAAGAATCCTGAAAGATTAAAAACAGAGGTTCACTAATTTCCACAATTAGTTCCATAAGTACTAGCGGGTGAATACTGTCAGGTTCTGGAGCTTTATTTACATTAACTTTCTTTAGTTGCTGCAGTCTTGAGTTCATGGACGTTCGCAGGAATTTTTCCAGACGGGGGGCATAATTGTAATGACATCCATGCCAGTGTCATGAAGGGGAGGGGCATAGTCATTATCACATAAAGCCAGGGTGACCAGATTTTTTATCCCTCCTATCCCAATTTATGTCTGGGTAATTAAAATCTCCAAGAATTGCCCAGATCTGCGGCTTTCCCAATTTATTCTAACAGCTATTTTTCCTCATCAATATTAACATTAGGTGTTTTATAACATATACCCACCAATAATTGATTTCCTTTTTTTTCCCAAACAGATATCTTCCACATTTTCCTCATCACATTCCACTTGTTTAATATTTGACTTTAACCCATGATTGACATACAAACATACCCCACCACATTTCCAGTTTTTCTATCCTTTCTTAACAATGTGTAGTCATTTAAGTTAGCTGCCCAGTCATGTGTCTCATCCCACCATGTTTCAGTTATGCCTGTTATGTCATATTGCTTAGTGTGTGCTACTGCTTCTAGTTCCCCCATTTAGTTATTTAGGTTCCTTGCATTAGTAAGCATACATTTAATATTATCATGAGTCTCTTGTACTTTGTGTGATTTAAAAAAAAAAAATTATTACTATTACAAACCTCCTTTGTTCTGATCTTGCCCCTCCCCATGTGCAGTTCTAAAGCCCATTTCCTTTTTCTGTCTCCATTTTGTATATTTCTGTGTCCCTCCCTTATCATAGAAACATAGAATGTGACGGCAGATAAGAACCATTTGGCCCATCTAGTCTGCCCAATTTTCTAAATACTTTCATTAGTCCCTGGCCTTATCTTATAGTTAGGATAGCCTTGTGCCTATCCCACGCATGCTTAAACTCCTTTACTGTGTTAACCTCTACCACTTCAGCTAGAAGGCTATTCCATGCATCCACTACCCACTAGTTTAAAATCTCCTCCACCCTTCTAGCCATCCTCTCCCCCAGCACAGCAGACCCTTTTCCATTTAGGTGCAATCCATCATGACTATAAAGATTGTAACAAAGTGCAAAATCAGCCCAGTGCGCTACAAAACCAAAACCCTCCTTCCTACACCATGACTTTATCCACACATTAACCTCCCTTATATAATGCTGCCTTTCTACTGTATCATTCAGCACAGGTAATATTTCTGAAAATACCACCATGGAGGTCCTTTTCTTAAGTTTACTTCCTAATTCCCTAAACTCATTGTTTAGGACTCTCCATTCTCCCCTGACATTCTCATTGGTACCAACGTGGACTATTTTGGGGGTCATCTGCTATCAGAATTCTCCCTTGCAAGATTCACTGTTGAAAAATGTTGAAATCTTTAATCTTTAATGTATACCTATAAATGCATGGCAGAAATGTCCCGATATTTGGAGTTTTAAAGTGAACCAGTCATGAGAGCTCCCAGATACAGATATAAATCATAAATGTTTGTGCATAGGGAACTGTTCCCTTGCTCCAACCACGTTACTCAGTATTGTAACATTCAGCTTCCTTTACATTCACGTGTCTGCTGTGATTGGCCCTGCTTGGAAAGACTTCCACAAGACTCCTGATGCTGACATGCTGGCATTATCACTAGGACATTATTGTCAGTGCATCCTATGTTCCCCTAGTACTGCCTAGCAGTGTCTGCTGGGGAAGTTACACCATGACAGGCAAGATACCATCTGGGCAAGGATTGTCTTGCTATCTGTCTCTCACTACTCAGCAGCAGACCCTGTGACCCTCTGGCACAGAAGTTTAATACTGAATATTTAAATGACAGATGGTGAGGGCCCGACATTTTAAAGACCTTTAAATGAAAATCTACACATTTGCTAGCATTTCTGCTAACACAATGTATAGATGGAATTTAATAATTTGTAAAATTAGATAAATGTGTGTGTGCAATGACAGGTACATTTTAAGAAGAAAAACAATGTATGCTTAAAGAAATACTATAGCGTTAGGAATACAAAGCTGTATTCCTAATTCTATAGTATCTCTCTGCCTCTGTGCCCCCCGCCGTGTGATTAAAGCGTAAAAATATTTTATTATTTTTTTGCTTCTTTCCAGAGCTGAGGTCCCTTAGCATTTTTGTGACGTCACATTGATGGGGAGACATAACGTACATGTGCCATGTGCAGTGCAGTGCGCACACTAGACCTTCCCTAGAGGAAATCTTTGAATCAGTGCTTTCCTATGTGGTTTATGAAGACACTGGACATCATTTCATGTAATTGAAAATGTAGCAAGCGCCTCTAGTGGCAGACATCAGATATCGCACTTTCGCTGAAACTGCCTGCAGTACACCCTTAACGTAAAATCTAACAATATAAGTTTTGGATAGTGATAATCTTGGTTTTTTTTTAAAAATACCTTTTTGTTTGTTTGTTTGTTTTTTTTTTTTTTTGTTTTTTACATTACATTAATAAGAAAATTACAAAACATATTAGCAATAACAAATTGTATGTACTATTATCTAATTTTTTATACATATCACCATTTAACAATATAAATAATATAATAGTTTTAGATTTATAAAATGCCTCATTTTAATTTAAACATTTTCTTCACACATCATAC